GACGTCAAAGATATGTCTTTATCACGGAGTGACCTATTCTTGTGAGAACACGAGACTAGATCTAGACTTGTGTAGATCTTCTGGCCTCCCCTGCCTCATTGCGGAGTAGAGGTAAATAGGACTTGGGCAGCTCCCAACCTTCATTATGATTCATTCCATGATACAGCATGATCCAACTGACTGTGGACTGCCTCCTTGATCTTTATGTGGGTCTTGCGTGTTTCTTGATTTTTTGGAGGTACGTGTTTGCTACCTTTCAAAACAGTCATTGATTGACGAGTATTCTGCTGTTTAAATCTATACGTAACTGATAAATCTCTTCAAACAGGTAATGAGGGCTAATATTTACCATCCATTTGACGATGATAAGTTGATGCATCTGTTTTAGTTCCCTTGACAGGTATGCTGACATTTAAAAGTCGAAGATTTTTCATTCCATTAATTGGCAGGCATGATCATCAACATTGCGTTAAAACATTAAGCTATGAGGGCACTCTGGCCCACTTCCAGTCATCGTAGCTAGGTGATTCAGAAATAGGGCTGTGATCTATAGAAACATGTACATATATCATTATACACGTCAAATTTCAGCCATCTATGGTATATTGAAGTGTGCTTGATAGAATATCTTTATCTTATGGAATTGCTGCCCTATCAATAAAAACCCACTGTTCATGTAAACAGGGAGTCTCCAAACGTAAGAAGGGGCGTGACCCTGTTCTCGTCCAGTTCTATGAAAAAAGAGGAATGACCGTGGCGTACAAGGATTGTCCTTTGATAGAAGAAGCAGCAAAGGAGAGCGGGAAAACAGTACAACAAGTGAGGGTGAGTTGTCTTTTTGATGATAATCAGTTGTAAATTAGTATAGGTAGGACAAAAAGGTTTTGTGCTGTAAGGCCACACCAATTTAATTTGTTGGTTCTCGGACAGGAAAAATATGAAGCGACAGGGCAAAAAAAATAAAAATAAAAACAGATCTAGGCATCCTCTTATAGCCCCAAATGCTACGATAGGAGGTATGAAGTCAACACAAAAGGCTGGTTCAAAATTTAAACAATGAATTTTGAACTTCTAATGATACCACTGCATTGAAAGATGGAATAACTGTAACGACTAGGAAGAAAAGGACTGTTTTCAACTGTTCAGGGCAAAATATGAGCATTTTGCAGTTGATTCTGAAATTTTTTTTTTTGCAAATCAGGAAAAAATGAAGAGGCGAATCCGAGAACCAACAAATTAAATTGGTGTGGCCTAAGAAGTGAAGATTTAATCCGAATGATTGATGTAACGTATGACGTAAGACATATAGACGTTTTACTTATTTCATGTTTTACATACAAGAGTATTGGTCTAATAAAAGAGTAATTATAGATATATATAACAAATCAAGTGTGATAAAATTCTATCAGGCCTGGTTAACAGTAATGTTATCTGTAATGCCCATTCAGAATTTTATCGCCAACTACCGTCGGAGTCAGGCCTTCGGTGAGAGAAGCCTGCCCACAGACGACATGGCTGCTGAGAACAGTGGGTTCACAGGATCTCATAATTCAGGAATGTCGGGTAAGGCACAAAACTTAACTATCTTACTATTCTTAGCTCTAAAATACTTAATTCAGCATATCATTCTATCATCTATCATTTGTTAGAAATTGGATATCATACAGTGATTGGACCTACACGCAGGTACATAGTCATTTTTGTAGATATTTAACTAGTTCTTAAAAACTGCATGTTTAGAAAACCAACAATAGCGTAGAACCGGACATGTTACCTCGTAAGTCTGTTGAAAATGAAATTGTCAAACTGGCCTCCGCTGTAACATATCATCCGTACAAATTTGTTTATAGAGAAGCCAGACGAATTTGAGGAAACCACGGCAGAATGCATAGCGGAACAACAAGAATCATGCACATCGTCACGAACTCATGAAGCAGTCGAGCAGTACAGCGACAGGAACAGCCCCACAGGTATCCAACATAATTGTACATATCAAATTTAACAAAGACTCAGGAGAGCAAAAGTCGAAGCAATAAAGCCGTGATATACATGTATTATTTCGCTATTCCTACTTACTTCCTGTTCGTTGACATGACTTGTTTCATGTTGTGTTTTTTACCTTCGCCAAGAAGGTTATGTTTTCAGTAGCGTTTGTCTGTGTGTGTGTTTGTGTGTGTGTGTGTGTGTGTGTGTGGTTTAGCAAGATAACTCGAGAAGCAGTGGATGGATTGGAATGAAACTTGGTAGGTGGGTAGGTCTTCATAAGACCTAGAAATGATTAGATTTTGGGCCCCCTGGCGGCTTTCCTAGGTACTGCAGCAGCACTGCCGGTTTTGATATCTCGTGATCTGGACATGCTAGGGTCACGAATTTTGGATGGCAGATAGCTCTTGGGATAGGGAAGAAGTGACATGAGTTTGGGTCCCCTAGCAGCTTGTTCTGGAACTGCAGGAGCATTTGTTGAAAAATTTTCGAAGGAGGATAACTCAAGAATCGGTTGACGGATTGTCATGATTTTTGGTATGTAGGTAGTTGAAGTGATGCTTGACATGATCAGATGACAATTATGCAAATCAGGAGCTAATTTGCATAATTAATGAGGAAATTCTATAAATCTGCTTTGTTCGATAATAGAACTATGAAACACTTGTGTCATCACTTGTGAGAACAAGAAAAAACATGAGGATATAATGTAAATGAGGACCTAATTTGCATAATAATTTTTTATTATTTCAGTTAAGTTAAGTGAAGGTGAACAGCAATTAACATAATTTATTCAAATTATGCCTCATTTGCATAATTTATGAGGAAGTGCTATAATAGCATTTTTGTTAAGATAAGGCTGTCATTGGGTGGAGAATATGATCAACTGACATAATCCATGCAAATGAGGCTCTTATTTACAAAATCAATGATTAAAATTGTATAATTTGTCAACCACAAGGGTTAACATCATTTGGCAAAGGTATGAGATCGTGGAACTCTTGTTTTTTGTTTTTTTATATTCCAACACGTAGTCACAAGACGTGGTGACAGCACACTCAAGTTTTTCCAACTTATATTAATGCCGCCACACAGGGACAATACAATACTCAAATTTTCACCTAAGTGAAGTGAGGAAAGTCGTGTAAAGTGCCTTTCCCAAGGGCACAAGATCGGTGGCATGTCAGGACTCAAACCCGGGACCTCTTGGTTCCGAGTCAAGCACCCTGCCGCTACGCCACACGACCCCACTCACCCCGCATGTTGTGGTTGGAGGTGGTGGTTTCAATATTTGGATTTTAAGAAACCCTTAGCTAAGTCCTATCGTATGTCCATTTCAGATGAGGGAGAGACGAGTCAGGAATCTGTGATCCTCATTTCAGATGAGGAGGAGACGAGTCAGGCTCAACAAGCCGATGGACCTATGATCATCAGGAGCGAAGCGTCCCAGATACAACCAAAGAAAGGTAAAATTGTACCATGACTCAAATGTTTCTTTGCATCTGCCTGAGTCTTCATGTGTGTGACGATAGTCTAACATGAAATCACATAGCTTATGCATGCTGCCTAACTATCTCACATTGATTGCAGGTGGAAAGAGAAAATCCAAAACGCGACACGTAGGCGAGTCCAGCGAGAGTGGTACCTTGAGAAAGCGACCAAAGCAAGGTATGAATGGAGGCATGTTGTGAAAAAATTTTTCGGAAATATCATTTCCATGGCAATAATCGTATTTTAACTGATTGCAGACTTAAGAGCCAATGACCCAAAGCAGCCAATCATCACATATACCTTTTCAAAAGTGTTCAGTTAAGGAGGTATGTCCCTGTAGAAATAAGACTAGTACATTCTTTAAAGCGCTATGACAACTCACGTGGCATATATATATCTCCCAGTAGGCAATGGGAAATGTGAAAACATAATAACTTCGGTCCCCCTCATACAACTTCTCCAGCTGTAGCCCAGCCTGCTGCCACCACCATTGCTGAAGTGTTGAAAACCGGAGCCAGTATCAGAATAAGAAAGACGAGTACCCTTCATTGCACTAAATGCACAGTATGATTTTTACCATTCGATTATCCTTTTAATATACCATGCAGTGCCACTCATGTTTTACTTGATGCTGAAATTCGTTCCAATGCCTCCAGCTGTAGCCCAGCCCGGCCCCATCACCATTGCTGAGGCGACAGAAAACAGCATCAAGATCACCTGGACAGATGCAGCTGGCACCAAAGACAGCTACAGGATCAGCATCTCTAATAATGGTGGTGTCACTGCTCCTAGTAAAAGTGTGAACCTTGGAGACCCACTGGAACACACCTTCACTGATCTGACAGCAGGAACTGAGTACACCATCAGTGTTGTAACTGTCAGTGGTGGGGAGAACAGTGTGGCAAGAACAAAGACACAGAGGACAAGTGAGTATCCTTTGTTGTACTTGAATAGCTAGATGCCAATGATTCTCAAGACTACATTATCCGTTTGTTTTGCCACTTTTTGCTGTAACTACTTTAGATGATGCTGAAATGTGATTGAAGCATTGACAGGTTTATATCATTCCAATATGTCCAGCTGTACCCCAACCTGGCCCCATCACCATTTTTGAGTGCAGAGTGGCAAGAACAAAGACACAGAGGACAAGTGAGTACCCTGTATTGTACTTGGCTAGATGTACATGGAAATATGATTTCACAGCAGTATATTATCCTTTACATGCCCTTTTTACACTGGAGGAGGAATTAAATGGGATGTCATCTGAATGAAAGTTCTTTGTAAGTACATTGATTTCTGAAGATAATGTGATAGCAGTCAGAGTGCTTTACAAATGCATGTATTTTGCGCCCATTTTATATAATATACATCAGATATAATGCAAGCACTTCTTAGAAATACTTTTCAAATGATCAATGTTAGGATTTCCTTCATATTTCTAGAGCTACATTGAATACCAAGCAATTTCAGGTGACAAGGCAAGTGAATGAGAGTTTCCTTTTCTTTTGACCTGATTTATAGGATCTGGAAGAAGGCCTTTGGTGCTGCTGCTCAATGATGAGTATGGGACCAGAAAGGGTGGCATATCCACAGTCAACCGCCAGATGGGGTGCTTTCTGGCTTCAAAAGGAGCAACGGTCCTTTGCACAGTCCTGAATGCCACACAAGAAGACAAGGATGACGCGGCTAAAGATGGAATTCAGCTGGTTTTCCCAAAAACGTTTAAACGTGATCTAAGAAAGGCAGAGCTCTGCTGGTTGACCTTTGACCACCAGACCCGATATCCAGATCTTCCCTCACACGTAGACTTCATCGTGGGCCACGTACACGTCACAAGCCACGCAGGAAGACGGATCAAGGAACGCTTTCCTGACGCCAAACTTGTCCAGGTCACTCACGTGATTCCAGAAGACACCAATCAGTACAAGGGTGATGAGAGGGTGTTGAGCATTGGCCAGGAGAGCCACAACATTCTGGATGACCTACAACACACTGATGTTCTCTTCTCAGTTGGTCCATTGATGTATGACTACTACAAGCATCAGACAAATCAACTACCGGTAAACTTACAACACCACGAGCTCTTACCAAAGCCGTCTGACATCTTCATCGATATGAAACTGAAGCCACCCGCCGACACGGAAACGAAAGTGGTGCTGTCCATCGGCAGGGTCAAGGGTGTGGAGAGGCTGAAAGGCGTTGATCTGACTGCAAAGACCATGGGCAAGGTGATCGACAAACTACCCCACACGAAGTGGCGACTTCGCGGCATCAGACATGACGATTTCAAAGCAAGCAAGAGCATCATTGAAACCTATACGGGTAACATCATCTTCTTCACTCCTCTGGAATACGCTACACAGGAAGAGCTGTGCGAGGACATGCGAAAGGCCGATGTCGTCCTGATGCTGTCTCGTGCAGAGCCATTCGGACTGGTTGGTCTGGAGGCTATTGCCGCAGGTGTGCCAGTCGTGCTTTCCAACAAATCTGGTCTTGCAAAGTTCCTGACAAAACAAGATCCCGAGTTTGACCGAACGATCGTAGAGATCGACGATGACGACGAGGAAGCCGCCAAAACGCTGTCTAAGCGGGTCATCAAGATCCTGACGAATGGACGCCGAGAGTTTGAGGCAGCACAAAGTTTGAAGAAGAAGCTTCTGCGCTCAGAGTACTGGGCTGCATCACACAGCAAGCTCCTCCAAACCTTTGGCCTGGAGGGCTGAGCGTTTAACCACAGAGTTTCACCCACTGGCAAATGGCAGTTCACAGTTCCACTTAATGTGGCTTCAGAACCCACCGTGCACACGCATCTGGATCAACCGTTTGTCAGTCATGTTGTATATACCAGTAAACAGGTGTACATGTATAACTATTCCACAAGTCATTAATTCTGCAAACCAATGGATATGTGGGTAAAGCATCAAGTGTCCATATCAACCTGCTGAAAGGTCTTTCTTAGATGACAGTACTACAACATGCAGATCATTCTGAACTGATGTAAACATAATGAGAACAATCAACATTCCATATGAGCTTGTACATAGTGGATCCCTACAAGTGTTATTGCTACATGTATCATCATGCAACATTTTTCATACTGCTGTATATAAGGGTTTGATACTACAGATTTTCCAGATAGTTATAGTTGACATGCTTTAGATGTTTTGGATTTGACTCCATTGTAAGATTAAGGCATAGATTGGAATTTATATACGGTATACTTGTCTAGTAAGTATATGTTTTAATGATGTTTGAAGATGACGCTCCAGTGTAAATGCGTTTTAGAGTTGTCATGACTTGATAAACAGATCTTAGAGTTGGACGGCATACCATTGCAGATGTAGATTAAATGAACTTTCTCTTCATGTACATTCACGTTTGGATTTGTTTTTTTACTGTAAGGAAGAAGACATTAGGAACCAACTATAGATTGTCTGGTAATTTTTCCTCATCAATAGCCTCTTTCACTAATTACAATATTGTAACTGTAATTATGTGAGCTAAAGGTTTAAACTGACCGTTTCGTTGCACCTCTGCCAGAAGACGCCAACCAGGAAGATGGCAGCGATGGCGGGGACCAGATAGTCACAGATCTCCTGGATGTAGATGAAGAGTTGAGCTCCTGACATGGCCTGGAGGATCGGTACCCACAGGATACTCACCACAGTCAGGATCAGCATGATCACTCTAACATAGTCAATACAAGAACATTAGAGATTTAGCAACAAACAACAACCGTGGCATGCTAATTGTTACTCCGTGAAGGAGGTCAGGACCTTCGGACTGGTTTTTCGTGTTCGCAGTCAAAACACTGGGTTCTCTTTGTGTAATCGGCACGCAATTTTATATGCCGTCTGCGGGCATGCCCGTGTTGATGCACGAATGTGTATTTTTGCCGTTGCTGCTTTCGCGGTCAATGTAATATTGCAGATGCACCCCTACAATTCTGAGGCAAATTGGAATGGTCCAGAAAAATGCGTTGTTTGGAATAGCAGTGGGGGGGGTGGAACTTTAAGCAGATGTGGTGAGTGGCTGATAAGTAGTTCCAGATGTTTTTTGCCCGTGCTTTGAGATGGTAAGTTTTTTGGAAGATGTTCGCAGCCAAAACGCATTCTTCCGTACGTAGGATTTCTGTGTAATTGGGCATGTGGTGTGCTGGTATGTCTGTGATGATGCACGTCTTTTTATTTTCACCGTAGCAGTTTTGATATTGAAGTAAATTCATATTGTAGAAACATCCCTACTTTTACAATCCTTTGGAATAGGCCGTAGGTTTAGGCGGTTGTCTGGTAGCAGAGGTTCTCTAAGCAGATATTAGGTGGCCGTTGTGCATAATGGTGGCGAGTATCTTTTGGAATTGTGGTTTGCATCTACTGCGATACCCTGTCAAATGAATAATATGTACTAGTAAACTAGAGAGGCCGACATTTGCTTGGGAGCAAATACAGCATATTTCAGTCCACTCCCTCCCACGCAAAAGTGGACTATTCCAAACTTGCCCCAGTGTAAAACTGGCAAAGATTCTCAAATAAATGAATTATATAGTAGCTATGTAATTGAGAACAAAGATTCAAGAACAAGCACATTGAATCTCGAAAGCTTTACAGGTATGCAAATACTAACTGATGAGATTTGATACATTTTAAAGGTCTTAGGCACATAAAATTGAATGTGTGGGTCACAACTTACGTGCAATGTGACCCCAGGTAACCTGCAATGGAACACGTGTTCCATGGCCAACGGCAGATGGAACAGGCCATTCTTTATATAGAACATGGAACGGGTAATATATATATATATATATATAGCACTTTTGGCCCTTTTTTTGCTGAAAATAGCCATTAAAGTCCCCAAATGAGTCATTTGGAAGTGGTGTATGCCAAATATGTGACTGCTATTCTGTAGACACATGTTCAAGGTACCCTTATACCGAATTTCAGATCATTTGGTTGTAAAACCAGGTCTCAGGATCCAAAAATCCATTTTTTGGCGAAAAATGCCCCAAAAAACCTTCATAAAAATTTTTCAAAGGCATGTATCAAAAAAATGAAAAAAACGCCTGGGGGTATTGGTCCACTCTACCTCCATGCCAAATTTCAAGTTATTTGGCTGAATGATGGCGGAGATGAATCCCTTTGACTGTGTGGCAGGAGGAGGAGGAGGAGAAGAAGGAGGAGAAGAAACATCAGAGAACACAATATATTTCATCCATACCATGGTATGGACTGAAATATAATGAAAGATATTGTTGTGAAAGCAGACTTATTATTATCTATTTAGATTGTCGTGTTGTTGATTTTATGTAGCCTGTGTTTAGACTACTATATTAGTCTAGTAGTTCGTCTGCAACTGTTTCCCCAAGGGGGCGGCAAACCTCTGAGCCGGTGGCCACTCCCACAAGGAGCGCGATTTTTTAGTCAGGCTAGATTATTAGACCAGGGATTTAGCCAATTTTACTATACGTTGTTACCAGTTGTTAAGTGATCATACACTGTTTACATACACTATTACTGTTCTCAATCTGCAAAATATAAAATGTCACGGAGAATTGTCGCCTATGGACTTTATTTCTATGTATACCCTAGCAGTTTTGATATTGATGTAAATGCTTATTTTTGAAAAATCCCTATAAGGTCGTTGAGATGTTTTCAGCGCATCTGTTTAGAGGTATTTGACAAGAGGTATCTGACAGGTGGTAAGTAACACTCGCGGTGCTGGCCGTGCGACTGTTGCATGCCTGGCCATTCGCGCTTAATAAGTAACAGGAACGGTAAGACGGTGGGGTTGTATTTGTTACTAGTGCCATGATCTTCATGTGAATGCAATGATTGTGTGTATGTAATTAAAATGAACTTTGAACTTGAAGCACAGTATCTTTACACGCCCTGGGAGCAGTAATGGATTTAGGTCTTATGTTTTATGGTTGTGACGCGCCCTCATTGTATTAACCGTTGCCTAATGTCTGCACAGTAGGTCTGGCGTTGACGCTTGGGATTGTTTTTGTTGCAATATATAAAACTTCACGGAGGATTGTCACCTATGGCTTCTTGTTGTTCTTGTTATGAATTACAATTGTTGGAGCTGAATCACGAAAGGTGTACCAGGTGCCATTTGCCCGATTTTTGACCATAGGACCATCGCAACCATACTACCAGTCACAAAGGGAAGGTCATCCCTACAGTGCTGGATTCTGTAATGTGATTGATGTGTCCTCACAGGTCGTATACAAAGGATGTTTCTAGTCTAAGTCCTACTTTGCAAGTGAAGTGAGGAAATTTGCTGTACCCACAGAAATAACATTAGAGAATGTCAGGGATTTGAATGCAGGACCTCTTGATTCTGGGACAGATACTCTAACGTAACACCACAAAATACCTCATGTGCATTTGGAGCTACATGTATATGTACTTTAGTTATCAGGAAGCAGACCTCATAATAAACCATCAAATGAGTTGATCTCTAAAGGTGTCCTAATAGATCACAATGATGAGCAGACATCTTTAAACAGTGTTCACCTGCCCACTATCATGAGTTCCCTGTTCCCAGCGCGAGGCCGCAGGCGCTGCCAGATGTCTATAGTGAAGATGGTGGAGGCAGAGTTGTAGATGGAGTCTAAGTCACTCATCAGGGCAGCCACCATCACTGCCATCATGATGCCACGGGCACCTGGACATTACATCATACAGTCACATTTCAAACAGGGCTTAACTCTACAACAGAATTCTTATGGCTGGACATCTTTAATTCCTGGATCTACAGTTCAACAGCTTTTAACAACTTTTTAATGAATTGAATGTCTTTCAATCCAGTAGTGGTGACATTAGAGAAAGTGTTTATAGTGGGTAGCAAAGTTAAGTTATAGTGGGTAACAAAAATATTCTATGTTGAACTCACAAATATTCTAATCTGGCAATTCCGACAATGTGTTCACCGGTAATTCCAATGAGTCCTTTTACCATAACTCACCTACGGGCATGACTCCCAGCACCAGTTTGGGGTAGGCGATGTTGGTACAGCCGTGAGCATTTCCACACACCTCCAGACAGGTGGTGGGGTCAGCACACCCCACCTGATCTGTGAAATTCAAGTACAAAAGCAAAAATCCTGGTTTGATTCTGATACTTTTTCATTGAAGTTTGACATTTTGTGTATGAATAGCACATTGAGATCTGTGGTGGTAATTGTCTGAGCATGTTTTTTTCATTTATAAAGAAAAAAAACAAATCGCAAATGTTATTTGTAAAAATTTGGATGGAAAATTCACACCCTATACATTTCATACAACTTGCAATTGGTACCAATTTTGTACCATTTGGTACCAATTTTCTGTTGGTTAGGGGATTTGGCAGGAGGCAGAAGGTCAAAGCTTTAAAATTTTGAAATTCTAAGGAGGGTACAATATACCTTAAATTGTTACAAATAATGTATTCATACAAAAACCAAAGGCAAAGACTGCAAAGTAGGTTGTACACCAAAATCTGTTGATTGATTGGTTGACATTGATTGAGTGACATTGATTGGTTGACATTGATTGATTGACAGGTGAGACTTACTGGGGAAGAGGATCCTGCTGACCATGCCTGGGACGACCATCATGAACATGGGGAGGATCTTAATGAAGCCGGCCATCAGGGTAGCTCCACGGGCGTGGTCCAGGTTCTTAGCTGCCAGGGCCCTCTGTACTATCACCTGGGGGGGGGGGTCACATATACAGACCAACTCTCATTAACTTTGCCCACGTTACATTTTCAGTACATCGATTCCAAGTACCTTTTCCTAGGTAACATTTTTGTTACAACTGACCACTACAGTACAAAAGAGTAGACCTGTCCTTGGTGCTGAATGGTTACTACTGTAAATTACCCCTATATTATATGTTTATGTCTGTCCTTGGTGCTGAATAATTACTACAGTAACTGACCAGTATAGTATGATAGTGTGGACCTGTCCTTGGTGCTGAATGGTTACTACTAAGGCTCACCACTATAATATGATATAGTGTGGACCTGTCCTTGGTGCTGAATTACTACTACAACAACTGACCACTATGGTATGATAGAGTAGACCTGTTTGGTGCTGAATGACTTGTTAAACTGCATTGTTTTAACCATTAACTCAAAATACTGCAAATGCCTTTGTTCCCCTCTTACAACAAAATTGTTTTGCAAGCTTAATATGATTTACACTGTAAGAACCATACCTGGTCTGTGCACCAGTACCAGATAGAAGCTGGGGTCTGGCCCAGTAGAAAACCCAGCCACGGCATTTGTGGGTCATTTATCTCACGCAACATTCTGGAACACAGAAATCACATCAGATTCTTCTAACTCTTCCAGAAACATAATGTTAAAAAAATGAATTGGCATCTTTTTCTTCAGGTCATTCACTAACTCAGTGGCATCCTGATTTATATGGCAATCCTCACATGACTAGAGTTTCAAATTTGTCTTGATCCTCTCATGTTGTCGCTTATTTTTTTTATTTGTTGTTGAAAAGGGTTGTATATTAAAATATATGAGACAAGGTGATCTTGTGGTAAGGGTTGCTGACTTCTGGTTCTGGGTTTGAATCCCTAGCAGGCCCCAGTGTTGTGTCCTTGGGATATGCTCTCTACACCAGTCCTATTTTTTACTCAACTCTGGTGAAAATGCTCAGTACCTTCACCTTACTTTTGTTTAAGGCTGTCCTCTTGAATAGGAAAGGAGGCAATAATGAGGGTCATCTTGTGCACTAGAAAAAAGTATAGTACTAGTGGCTTACACAAAAGAGTCATCTGAGGGGATGCCACACTTTCCGTACTGCTCTGTGTAGTTGTTCATGGAGAGGTTGAACTGTCTGGCGTTGACATACTCCTTAGTGATGTTGGGCATGGCCACCATGAACTGTTCTCTCAACCCCTCCCAGCCACCAACACGAACCATGCCTGAGGAAGTACAGACAGAGAAAAATTAACCTTCTCCCCGCTGGGTACTTCCCCATAACAAATATAAATTGTTGCCAAAGGGCTACCATAGCAGGCTGAAGGTTGATTGAGGTTTAAGTAAGGTTTAAGATTAGATATGAACTGATACTTTGCCAAATTTCTTATTTCCTTGTTTTTTGCATGTCCTAACTGTAATGTTAAGACTAGACGAATGAAATTGAAATACTCTACCCTTTGAAGGTATTGAAGCCTATGTTACAAAACTTACTACAACATTTTGCAATTCATGTATGGTACTCACTGACAATCATGAGTGCGACAGCCCCCAGCACCATGAGAATGGCCTGTAGAGTGTCTGTGTAGATCACAGCAGCCAGACCACCTGGTAGACACAATACCAACCACATAGGTAAGTGTTTTGGAATGTGAAAAATATAGATCTCAAAATCCAAAGAATAAAATGTAGGCTTAGCATATGTGATGAACTTGAAACAATTTGTTGTTAGATCTAGAGGTGAATACCTATTGGAATAGGATATACTGTCACCTGTGATAGTCACAATGGCGGTTAGGATAAGTAGAATGGCGATAGACAGGTACATGTTCCAGCCAAGGGACTGCTCAATGAACAGAGCTCCGGAGTACAGGTTCACCTGTGGCATAAACATAACAGCTTAAAGATGTCATGTTTGACTTAAGGTCTGCCAAGATCACTTCAATCTAGATCCTATGACATTTAGTGGCATTGGCTAGCAGACACGAGATCGAAAGACTGTCCTTCAATGCGAGTTGCATTCCAGGGCCAAGAAGTTTCATCCTTGGGAAAGGCGCACTTAACATGATTTTCCTTAATCTACCCAGACTGCAGTAGGAGAGGGATATGCACCACCTTCCATGCAATACAGTGCCCTAGACACACTGGATCAACAACCCACTACCCCTAGGCCCTGAAAACAGCTATAGGAATACTTTTACCTTTACCTTACACTTTTAACTTAAAAGTTTTATGATATTTGCTAGAATGCAAAGCAAACATTATTACTCTTTCCTAGTCTAAAAGTTTATACTTTATTATAATAAATAGCTAATCAATTAGGGAAAGATTTGGCTGGACTCACCGACAACTTGATCATGACGTACAGTATGAGAGACAAGATGGCGAACATGACGCGCAGACGCTGTCCTCCGAACCGTTTCCTCAGCCACTGCGGCATCGTGGTTGTCTGGAAGGCAACAAAATGGAGTCTTGTACAATTCTCGTTGAAGTCTAGACCAACACTATAATCCCCCTCCCCTTACTAAAATACTATCCATCCCTGTTCCCTTACTAAACTACTACCCCTGTTCCTGATAGCAAATACTACCCCTGTTCCCTTACTAAAATACTGTCCATCCCTGTCCCTGGTGCTGAAAACATTATGACTGGTTTCCCAAAAGGCCTCATCCTTCTACATGTAATATCGACAACTGTATTGTCTTAGCTGGCACGTGACTGTGAACATGCGACTTTCTGTCAGTAATGATTGAGTTATAAAGTTAACATGTTAGACTTCAAAAGATGCTTAGTTGACATCAATGTTCTAATGTATTTGTTCATGTGAATGTTTATTGGCACTTAAAATTTTATTCATTATTGGATGTATCAATAATAAAAACATGATAGTCTCACCCCACAAGCAATGTAGACAGGAACAAATATCCACCCTAACAGCTGCAGTAACATCAGGGCCTGGGGATAAGAAGGAAAATTTTAGCTTGTGAAAGTAATGTACAATGCAATAACTCACAAATAAAATTCTGTAGAGATTGAAAGGATTATTACGACAAAGTTTGCGTACGTTGAACTCCCAGGCCCCGACCCCGATCCCGCCTGCCGCGCCGGATCCCGCCAGTCCGATGAAGTGTTCGCTCCCGATGTTGGATACAAACAAGGACGCCCCAACCTGAAGACATTAAAAAACACAGACCAGGCAAGATTGGAAGAGATTGTGCAAAACATTATGTGTAGGAAATGTTCATGTAAGATTTATCTTTCATCTTCAACTTTCAGGTAATTTATGTAGTTTGATACATGATAACTTACCGGCAGCCAGATCATTGTTCTTCCTGCCAGGAAAAACCCGCTGACTGTCCCACGGTTGCTGCGTCGCATCGCCTGGACCAAAAACACTGGTCAATTCAAAATTCAACAGATGCTTACATATATGCCGATATCATGAGGTGCTGATTACTGATTTGAACATACAAGAATTTAGTCTGTGCAAAAAAGATAATAAAAACCAAAGCATGCTGCCAAGCAGCAAAAATCACAACTACATGTATTACAGTGACAGTATAAAATAGATTATAACATTAGAAAATTATATTTCTGTATAATGTCCTTTAGAAAATTATGCTTCTGTATAATGTCCTTGATTATAATAAACCGAAATTACTGTATTATTATAAAATCATCATAATAATTTAATTTTATTCTAATATCAATCATAAATCAAAATACTTAATTATACAACATCACATGTAACAAATTGCACTTCAAACAAAAGACTTGCATAAGGCTAATAGATGATTAATTCAGATGCAGACAGCTGTTAGTGCTACAAAATGTACATGTAGTGTACAATTTATATGTACTGTGTTGTTAATACTATAACAAAACTACATCAAGGATGACTACATGTGTATTTTTGTTTTATATTACAAAAATGTAATAAAACTGTGGTGCACTGTGTCTTACATCTTCTAAAGAAAACTGTCTAATACCAAAAGCCACGCTACTTAGACAAAGGCAGGTAGTTGATGTTAATGTTTGAGTCAGAAAGCTGTTCTAACGTTCAGAGTGATTATCCGTATCCGTATCCGCACGGCACAGTTCTGTCATGGTTGCCCAAGGGCCATATGGGAAAGCACATGATCATGGCCATATCCTCTGCACTGTGAACACAGCAGAGGAGAAATGCATAGAAACAACCACCATGTCATGAGCAAATTGCCACTCAGTAAAAAAAAAAGTGAGCATTAAACAATCATATATCTTTTTTTACTTCATTACTAAATATTTACTATATACCTGACTGCAAATCAAGAAGTTGTGTTTGAAGTGATAGAAATACTCATTGACAAGGTATATTGTTATTGTCATGATGAAATATCACAAAACTCAGCCATATAATATAATTATGAAACTCCAATGCAAATCCATTTTCTCAAATCAAGTTAACATTGCAGTCCACCATGGAACATGATCCGTACAAAGAAGTTGACCTGGCCAAGGTCTCCCCCATAACCTTCTTGACCTAGCCTTCTATTATAATTGCATTATAACACTCCAGCCAACTGGAGGAAAGTAGGATCATTACAATGGTTACCATATTTAGGTCACATGTCCCATTTCATTCAAACGCTGTCAGGAGGTCAATTTGAAAATATTTGCTCAGTGTGTGTTGACCTTGCAAACAGGGAATGTTTTTGTGAGCACCATGTGTTTGATAGCAGCTACACTTTCTGTCTAACAAGCCGTGCATTGTACTGTGGAAAGAAGTCAGAGTTGGCACATACATGTAAGAACATCTACTATTCTTTCAGATTTTTAGTGATTTTGTATTTTTGGCTATTGTACATAGTATTATGCATTAATTCACCTGAACGTATTGGCCTTCAATGGACATAATTTATTATAATGGTTGACCCTTTCACTAGTAATTTGTGAGGCTCAACTCCTGTAGCAGTAATTAAGATTGGCAGTCTACCAAAGGGAACCAGCTAACAGCTGGATTACTAGTCTGGCTCCAAGGGTAGAGTATGTCAGCTGAATGAACAATGAAGAAAAGTCAGTGTCACAAGCACACAAGTTCAAAACAGTGGCAATTAAGACATAATATACATACCCATAGTCCAACGCACACTACAGCCACAAAGTAGACAATGACGGCTACAATATCACCAACACCCAGTCTGGTGTCCAGGTCGTCTAAGGTCTCCACCGCCATTTTGTTGGCCTTGCAGTCTGCATGTAAGACCTTGAGACTCTCGGCTTGAAGTTTGGTATGGTCCTGATCCGACCTTAGGCCTTAGTATGCAGGGGTTGGCCAAGGACTGAGGAAAAGTACGTTATGTAAACAAGCTCCGTCGGTGGGTCAAAAGTAAACACCACACAAGTACAAGTACCACACGTAACATAAACAACGTCAATGTCTGGAAGTAGGTAAAACATGCTAAAACTGTAGTAACTCAGTACATGTACATACCTGGGCTTGCTTCCAAATGCCACACCCCTTTCTAAAACAGGTTCAGTTGTCCCAACAACAAACTGTACCCAACTGACTGGAACTGATTCTATACAACAGACGTGCACTCCCAAGGAAACTCACCTGGACTGGATACCAACTTAATTACAGTAATTATCAGGGTTCCCCTTAAGGCATTGTACAGAAAGGGAGAGTAACGACTTGTTTATAAATTGATCTATGTAGTAGATTAGGATTACCTGCACTTAGTGGTCCATTAAGTTGCCTTTGTGTCTTAGGCTTGGAAAATACACAATATTGGATTATTGTTTTGTACTAGTAATGGAGTGTCTGGAAAACCAAGACTGTGGACAGAAATTAAATGCTTTTACTTAATATTAAAAGCCAAGGAGATTAAAAATCAAAGCTGAATTTAACACTCCTTATTATTTAAAGCATGTTTTTGAGTACCGTCTGTACATGCTATATTAACATGGTCAACAAAATGTCTCACATTGAACCTGAGAGCTTTTGACAGTATTTACCACCTGCTATGTAGCCGTGAGGTGTTGAATAGTCTTTGTCCCCTTTTCAAAACATTTGTATGTGCCGAAGGTCTGTTGAAACAAGGAGGTTTGATTTTTATCCTTGGTTGAAATAAGAAGTCAGTTAGCACAGGTTTTGCACGAAGCCGTATCCCATAGACAATGATAGATTCACAGAAACATAGAGCCACAAGCATGACCAAATATGGTCATCTCAAGTAGTTTTACAGGTAGTTTTGGTGAAGGGGTCAGAAAAAGTTCACAGGGACACGCCCCTCTGAAATTTTCAATGTAATTAAAGCTGTCACCCATATTATCAATCATTATCATGTGTTAAACACAAGAGAAAGGAGTAACTCGAAGGTTGACTCTGACCCCCAGGATCAAACCCGTAGCTCACAACCAGCACACCAACCGATTACTAGTAGGCCAAAAGGTCCAGGACCATTGGGCTGGGTACATGTAATTTAAGTGACGCCTATATACTCGTTGTTACACATGGTTAAACATGTACATATTATGGCAGAACCTGTAGCCCAGGTTTCAACTCTGTACATTAAGGAGTGAGTGAGTGAGTGAGTGAGTGAGTGAGTGAGTGAGTGAGTGAGTGAGTGAGTGAGTGAGTGAGTGAGTGAGTGAGTGAGTGAGTGAGTGAGTGAGTGAGTGAGTGAGTGAGTGAGTGAGTGAGCGAGCGAGTAATAGTATTAAAGTCAAAACTTGTTACAATGGTGGGTATTGCTTATTGCAGTATTTTAGCCTACCGTAAGGAGTCTCTTTTGAAGCACTACAATTGCTATATTAGCAGAATAAAACTTCGAACGATAGATAAAAACAATTGCTGAATGGGCGAAACTATATTGATAATAGAGTGTAGTGTGTGTCTAGCACAAGTGGGCGTGGCAGTGTCTAGAATAATCAATCACTAAGCACTGAATGGAAGTGATGAACTAAAACTACATCATGCCATGTGTACTACAAAAGAATGCGAAGTGTGTGAGCAAAACCTATATCATCTCCATCAAGCAATCAGAAAAAACAAATTATACTTCTAAAAACATCCAATACGATATCTAAGGACCCTTTTCAATCAACTGATTGAATCGGTCGTGCTTTTTGTCCTCTTTCACCGATCCATCCATCCGCATCCACTTTAGCAGTATCTCCATGTAAATTACATTGATTGGATTACTTTTGTAGATAGGGCAGTTTTTATGCACCGAGTAGGTATCAGTCGACTTTTTTTTCAAATCGCATAATTCTCGAACCACGACCCACATCAATCTAAGTCAATTGTGGGATCAATTTGTTCTCATGACCTGAACTGAAGTAATACATCTAGGTCAACTACTTATTTGACATGGAGTGTGTGCCTATAGTCCCGATAGAAAATACGAGCATATAGATGTAATATAGCGTTTCTTCCGCAATTTGTGTGAAGATATTAGGCTATAAAACCAGCGTACGTGTAGCCAGAAGGACTGTTTTATACACAGGTGAATCATGTGCATTTGACAAAGGCCCCGAGGTCGCACACAATGTTGTCCACGATAGGCATGATTTCTCAACTCCTGCACCCGTCTCTTCACATGATCAAACTTAGCCTCTACCAGGCTTCGGGGGGGGGGGGGGCTGGAAAGAAAAAAAATCGACCAAATAGAGAGATAACATGCCAGGGGAGTTCGTATGGTAGAGAGAACTGTTTGCCCCACCCGGGTGGAGGCTACATCGTCATAGATAAAACATCGTAGGCGCGTCGTGCGATGTATATGACTTCAAAAGATCTCGCAACGACTTCATTTTTGGTGCAAAATAATCAATCGTAGGTAATAAACCTCTATCAAGTGGAGTGTGACCAAGTGAAGGAGGGAAAGTATGAAATATTCAAAGAAAAAAACGTACAACGAGTTCAGCTTACACAGGTACTGAAATATTCATTGAGACATTCCCCACGGTTTATTGTTGTCGCCAAAATCTTCCAGTCATCCATCTCTTTCACGACCCCAAAACGCCAAACTCTACAATTCAGGACAAGAAATCATTATTTATCAATGGGTGCCAATGAAATAGTAATCTGCAACAAATTGACTGACCCAAATTCTAACCCATTTTCTGTGTCTAAAGTTGAGGGATTTGCGGCCTCCTTTTTTATGTATCGACCACGGGGATCTTATAACCTAGTTAAGGTTACATTGTGTGGTGATGGGGTCTTTTAGGATCCAATTGTGGTGAACCAGGATGGCTCTCTCGATCTGTATGTGTAGGTGCATGTGTGTATGTGTGTGTGTGTGTGTGTGTGTGTGTGTGTGTGAGAGAGAGAGAGAGAGAGAGAGAGAGAGAGAGAGAGAGGACAATGGAAAGGAAGTTGACAGGAAGAACACATATTGAAGGAGGAAGTGCAGCAAAATTTTACACTTGCGCTACACAGGGCTCCAAACGTAAACCCAATAGTATGAAATAATATGTGAGTATGTGCATGTTTAAACCCCTTCATCAAGAGCACGCTGTTCTGGACCAGTCATGGTATAAGTAAAAGCGTGCACCAAAACCATAGTGTCTACACTTTCTCCAATAAATCATCATTTTCTCAAATACTCCAAAACTAATTCATCATGATCATTCACTGATTCGTACATAAATGCATGCCCTAGTCCATCAAGCGTCTGGCCTTCAGTTCCTAAACTGATTTTGTGTGGCATTTGACTCTGCACGTAGTTGCCGACGTTTGAAGAATCAGAGTGACCTTTTAAACAGAGCGACTGCCGTTACCCTGCGCCGTTTATTCTGTCGTACATTTGACAATGACGAATGGGCTCGACACGGGAAAACTTTGTTTTTAGCTTGTAACCGATGCGAGAGACGTCAGAAGTTACCCAAAGCCCCCGTCACACAATCATTCAGAACCTTTACCCGACCACCAACCACTAACCAACCAAGGTTGGCTGAAGTTCTGAAGCAGTTTGACTAGACTTAAGTCACCTCCAACTTTCTGTGCGAATCGAATTTGAGTTAAATATGAGCCAGGATTGTCCTAATTTTTCATAATTCGTATGAAGGGATAATGGATTTGATTATACTATTAGAATTTGTAGTAATATGATATAATATAATATGATAACTTTGTTATTTTTATATCATTACAAGGATACGGCAATACATGTGGCACGTGCCAGAAAGTTCTTGTGGTGCAAATGCGATGAGAATTTACAATGCCAAAGGCGCACTCAAACATTTTTTCCATTCCATAAACCTTCTCCTTTCCTTCATGGTTCAAACGATATTCACTGAGCACCCTGGGATTACCTGGCGATGTTTGAACATTTCCCCCACAAAGCAGTGCGGAACGAAACAAGTCTACCCTCGTAGGTCAACAAAGGTCATGCGCAAGAAATTCCTTCATACATGCGATTTGTGCAGCAGGAATCGTAAAGTTAACTTTCATGCTTATTTCTTTAAAAGCTCTCGTTTGGTGCTTCTAAGCCGCCGGCGTATGAAATGTGGTAGTAAAGTGACTTTTCGGGCTATTTACCAACCGAAGGTTTCTCTCGCCTGAGGCGAGATTTGGTTCGCTCTCGCGAGAGTTAACGAGACCCTAAGGCCACATTACTTTTCACAGTTTGGACATAAATCGACCCCCGGGCTTACATGTACATGAGCACTACGATATTATATCCGTTTTCTTCAGTGGGATGTTTCGCTTGGGGTGAAATTTGTGGATATTTGCTATGCGTCACGTTATTTCTATTATCACCCATGCATTCAAAAGTACTCAAACAGTGCCGAATATACGACACGGACACCATACGATAATTCAAATAATTTCAACAGCTTCACAGCTAGTACAACTTCACTGCTTATTTCTGACTCATTTGTCGTGCTTTTAGTCGCTACTTTCTAGATATATACGACTTCTAACGTCCATAGATATATACGTAAATTTTATTGTACTACAGACGAATGCTAAAACCTATAGTTACATGGGCGATAGTAGTGATGACTGCAAGTCACTTTTATGAAAGTTTTGGTAATAGAATCTGATAGCTTGGTTATGATTGGTGCGTGGTTAAATCACTGAATGCTGGTATACAGATGATCTAGCGTCACTAACATTGCGATTGGCGGCGAAATAACCCTTTTCCTCGGGCGAAATGCACGATTTGTCACAGAGACGTACCAATTGTGCGGACAGAAAACGAGCTACTTCCGCGACTGACACAATCAATGCGAGAATCAATCCACCAGAGGCCTGTAGAGTGGCGGGATAATCATGACTTAATTTGCAGCTTGTCTCCCGCTCGAAAAGGCGCGTTTGTCAACACGTTGTTACGTGAAGACAATTTATTGCCAATACCACACATTCCGACGCCGGAACAAAAGTTTTCAGCGAACTCACTGAGAGACATGCCATATGTAGGGCGTACATCCAAATAGAAGGTGCCTTTGCTTTGCTGGGGTTGCCGCCCAAAACTCACCCACAATTGTTAACGGCTCATCAGCGCTGCAAGAAAAAGTTTGGAGTTTAGTTACGCTTTGGTGACTGCATTGGCATTATGTACATCCGATGTTCGAC